CCACACACACACACACACACCACCACCACAATCAGCACCACCTCTACCTCCCTCGCACATCTCCCGCCTGCTGTCGGATGTTAACCCCTGAAGGACAGCGGCTGAAATACCTGCGTCTCTTCCTTTTATACCTGCACCTGACGAGTTTCCTGACCATCTGTCTGTTTATGATGCACTAGGATGACTCCAAGGTCTTTTTATGTCCTTTTCCCTTTTAGTTATCATTTCTGCAGCGCAGTGACTCACAGTCATGGGGTGAAATAAAAACTTCCAGCTGATACCAGAGACTCCAGCCCCTGGTTAGACACTCACTAGCTATTCTTAGAATTGCTGTTTGCAATAGTCAATACTTGACCTTCGAGTGACTGGGTGGGGTTAGCCATATGTTTGTATGTGCTCTGATATTTTTAATAATGAAAATGTTTCCTACAGAGAATTTTTCTCCTGCTCTTTGTAGTTTATTCCAGGAACTGGATCTTTGATGTGGCTAGGGTAATGGAAAGTTTTGTGGTCTGATTTTATTTGTAATTATCCACTTTTAACCACTACATTGTGATGTTGTGCAGTGAACCATTGCTATAAGACTTAGAGGAAGATTCAGAGATATCCTCAAGTATGTGGTTTGATAACAGAGCAGACAGGCAAACTTAATGCTTTGAAGGATGTTTATAGCTCACATACTGTCTCTGTGATAGTGAACTCTGAAGAACTCTGAATTATGGCATAAAGATCTCATATTCATAAAGATTAACATGAAATCATAAAGATTTCATATTAAAACCCCTTTTTGAATAATTTTTAGAATATCTGTCCAAGGCAAAGAAAACAGTATAAGACTTTGGATTCAGGAGAAAGACACTATCTCTACTTTTAAGATGAGGCTTAAAATTGGTTGCAGCAGATGACCCACCCCTCCCCTCCCTTAGCGTAGTTCTGCTGGAGGTTTCTTAAAAGGGAGTTTTTCCTCCCCACTGCTGCCAAAACGCTTGCTCATAGGGGGTCACATGAATTTTGGGGTTTTCTCTGTTTTCTTTGTATTATTGCAGGGTCTTTACCTTGAAATATAAAACACCTTGAGGCAACTGTTGTTGTGATTTAGCGCTATATAAATAAAAGTAAATTGATTTGAGTTGAAAGCTGTAGATAGGATGTGACTCAGTCTTTAAAGCTTGAAGGAAGCAACTGCAGTTTGTCATGGCACTGAGTCTGTGACCCAGTGTTTTGTGTTTGATTAAGTTATATTCCTTGATTATTTGTTATTCATGGCTGGGTTTGTGTTCATACTATATTTGTTGTTCTATCTCCTAGTTTCGCTCACTGTGTCTTCCCTGTGTTCCACAGTGCATCATGTCAGTCATGTCTCTGAGTCTGCGTCTCTGCGAATGTCTCATGCTTCCTGTTTTACTTTGATCGTCCTTGTCTTATGTTAGTGTATTCTGCTTTGCTTCCTTTGTCTTATTATGTCTGATTTGTCCCAGCTGTGTTCCCACCTGTTCACCATCCTCTCATTGTCCTGCCTGTGTATTTAAGCCCTGTGTCTTCCTCTCTGTGCGTTACCTGTTGCATTTCTCTGTGCTCCAGGCTCCATGTCGTTATGTTTTATGTCCCGAGTTTCTAGTCCCAGGCTTTTGTTCCTTTGTATCACTTTAGTTTCACCCAGTTTAGGTTTTGTTTCAGTTTAGTTGCTGCCATGTTCAGCTTTTGTTTGTGTTTCGTTTTCCCCACTGTAATTAAAGCTCACTCGCAATACGTCATTTGTCAGTGCCTGCACTTGGGTCCTTTCTCAGTTCAGTTCAATTCAATTTTATTTACACAGCACCAAATCACAACAACAGTCGCCTCAAGGCGCTTGATATTGTAAGGTAGACCCTACAATAATACATACAGAGAAAAATCCAACAATCATATGACCCCCTATGAGCAGCACTTTGACGACAGTGGGAAGGAAAAACTCACTTTTAACAGGAAGAAACCTCCAACAGAACCAGGCTCAGGGAGGGGCCACAGGGCCCTTCTGTGGAACTAGCTCCCTGTTGAGATTCATCTTTTGTCCAGTTTTCTTTCCGTCGAACCAAATGAATTGTGGCAGAGGTTTTAACAGGTTTCTTTCTTTTAAAGGGGAGTTTTTCCTTCCCACTGTCGCCAAATGTCACCACAGGAGGTCGTCTGATTGTTTGGGTTTTCTCTTTATTATTATCAGGTCCTTACCTTACAAACGCACCTTGTGGCGATAGATTTGATTTCACGCTATAAAATTAAAGTTGAATTAAATTGAATTGAATTTACTTTTGTCTTTAAGTGTGAGGTGGGAGCAGTTAACTGGTTCCTGCCTGAGGATCTCGGGCCATGCACTGGTTGGCACAAGGTTCCAGTGTATTCTGGAACAAGGCCACAAAGAGCTTTAAGAGTAAGAAGCAAAATCTTGGAAACAATTGTAAAACTAATGAACAGCCAGTGTAGAGTCAGTAAAATCTGTGCAATATTTTTAGACACTTTCATTAGTTCCTGAAAAAAGTCTTACTGCTGCATTTTGAGTGATTTGAAGTCTATTGATCGATTTTTGATTAATAGCTTGTAAAAGAGCTTTACAATAATCTGTCCAAGAGGAAAAGCTGAGTGCTAAAACTCAGTGTGGATTATACCGACCCTCAGGTGGTAGTACCAGGGATCGGGTGACCTTATTTACATGTTTCTCAAAAATGCTTGTCGTGTTGTCATCGTCGCCCTCTTCTTCCTCCTCCTGCCTGGTCTCTTTAGGGATCATCTGTCTCTGTCTCAGCCTGTCACATCAACCTTCCCTGTGATCTTCCTCCATGTTGTCTGGACCAATGATGAGAATTTCTGGGGTGTTTTCTTAGTTTACTTTCAAATTGCCCTACTCAGTCATTTCAGTTGCTAAATTAGCTCGGTCTCGAGCCGGAGCGATAAATAAAACATGACTTTGAACATACCTCTGCTGCAAAATTGCCAGACTACTGGCAGATTCAAACCCAGATCCTTCCTCTTGTGAGGGAGCATTGTTTATCACTGCGCCACTTTGGACCCTGGCATGTCACAAACAGTGCATATGAGCATTTCACTCACAAATCCAGGATTAATCAAGATGTTTTTCACCAGATTTACAAGTTGAAATAAAAATGACACATTTTTAACCCGTTTACACTTCTCTGAAACAGTTAACTGGAAAAGCAAAGGTTGAATCTTACAACACAGATTTCAATACAAAGGTCAAACATTTGATGCACAGTAGCGATCAAACCTCAATTTAAATGCTTGCCACAGTGTGAGCTGTGATCCTGTGGTGAGTCCTGAAGGTACTCCAGGTAGGCTGCAAGCAGTGATTTATAATAAAACACAAAAAGCTTTTGACTTTTTGTCATCTATAAAGTACCTTTCAAATGTTTTAAGTTAGAAGATTATATAAAAATCACAACTAATCAAACAAAAACCTGGAATTTAACTTGAATTATTATTCATTAATTTTAATTCATGTGGTGTCTTTCATCTTATTCTGGTGTGTTTATCAGCTTATTCCATTTTATTAAACATTGGCTGCACATGATCTGCTAAACTTCCAGTTTGAACTGAACCAGATTAAAGCAGATGCTACCCTGGACTGGTTTTGCACCAGTTAGATGTTAGCTGGTCCTCTAATCAATCATAAATTGCTCAGCAGGCATATTTAGTTAAGGTTGAAATTAGGATGAATTCATATTTTTGTAATGGCCTCAAAAATGCAAGTTTTCCCCCAGAAAACAATGTGAATGGATGCCGGGTGGTTGGTGTGTTCATGCATTTTACTGTTTAAATAATAAAACTAGGTCGATATGTGTCAATATCCCCTCGCAGGTGCGAGACCGAAGAGAGGAACACCAGGCGTCTGGAGGAAGAGGTGGCTCTGCTCAGGGAGACCAAGAGGACGGCAGATCACAGCAGCATGATACTGCATGCAGAGGTTCACCGCTCCATGACAGAGCTGCAGGAGATGCACCGGGAATTTGAGGTCATTAAATGTTCTTCTGTCTTGCCTTCTCATTCATTTGTCTTTTTAACTTTGCTCTCTTTTCTGTCCTCCCGTGCTTTTCCATCTGCATGCACAGTAGTAACTGTGTTCCAAAGTAGAAACTAGCTCACCCCTATAACTTCAGCGAGAACATTCAGGGTCCCTGGAGGCTGCAAAACTCAGTAATTCTGAGACAGAGTAGAGGAAGAAGAAGCGAAGAGGCAGGAAATTACAGTACCTGCATGTTTGGAGGAATGAGTTGACATTTTCTTGTTGGTGCTGGATTCAAACTGTCATCTTGTAGTGGCTGTACAAGTCTATAACCAGTTTTCACACGTTTCCACTGCAAAAACATTGCGGTGCCAAAAAGCTGCCATCGGCATGTAACAAACTTAAGGCCTTTGAAGCCTTTATTGTCAGTGGCTGTGGAAAAGAGGTACATGATGAGGCACATTTTCAAGGGACTGTCTATTAACTGCATCTGCTGTCTCGATCTCTCACATTAAAAACAGTCTTTGTTTGTCCCTTCACTCTGACCTCCACAGATGTTCCCCTTCGTGAACGCTACATGACCCTTAAGTGGTTATGATATATAAAATGTGTGTAATAGTCCTATTTAGATCTCTAATTATAGGAATACTTGTTATAATAACACGTAAATTATAAGTGATCTGTTCCAACCTCGACATAATAGTCCTGTAATGACTGGGTGTGCATGAGCACTTTTTTTCCTTGTGTGAGAAACACTTCACAGTGACCTCGTCCGTCCCTCCTCCATCTTTTCTTTCCTCCCTCCTTATCTTCATTTTCTCATTCCTGCTGACTAATACTCCCCTCCCTCACTTTCAGGATCCTTTCGTGCACACACATATGCATAAATGTGGTATTGATCCCTGCTTACTCTTCCTCTCCTTGTCTCTCCACATGTGTTCCCACTTTTTTCTCCTTTGCATTTTACTCACCTTTTTCATTCAGAATTTATTTTAATCCAACTCTCATCTCTCTTTTTGTCTCGCCTGTATTTTTTACCATCCTTCACCCTCCCCTCTCTCTCTGCTCCCTTTCTCTCTCCCTCCCCCTGGTTGGCTGTTTTGCAGGCAGCCCGGGCTCTGCAGCTGCAGCGGGCCAGCTCCTGTGATGCTCTGTTAGCGACGGCCACGGCAGCAGCAGCAGCAGCAGGAGGAAGGGAGGAGGAGGATGGCACAGGGATGGAGCTCACCCAGCTCCTCGACCGAATCAGAGCGCAGTGCGAACAGAGCAGACTCCCCAGCCCGGGGGAGAGACACCTCGGCCTGGGCGCCATCTCAAATCCAGCCCCCGGCTTGGTCGGGCCTCCTCATGCTGGAGCTGGAGCAGCAGCAGCATCCAGAACACACAGAGGAGCCCTCAGCGAGGTACGCATCCACTCTTACACAATCTTCACTTGTCTTTTCTGAGGACAATGGTCCTGATCTGTGCCGGTCCGACACACCCTCAGGACCAACTCCAGGCTGTCCCACAGGCAGGGTGATGCATGTGCCCCGCTGGTATTTGTTGACTGGGGTAAAAAGCTTGAAACCTCTCCTTCCTTGCTATATGGCCTGTTTGTGTGCAGATTGTGTGTTTGTCTCCTTTCTCTCTTCATCTAAACACAGTAGTGGTGGTCTGTGTGAATGATCCCTCACCTTCATTAAATATTTACAACCCAAAATACAACCTAAGCATCCTCATCCTGTGTCTAGTAATAGCAGCTTTGTTTTGTTTTGACGTTTCCACTCTTATTTTAGCTCAGCTGGCCTCTTTTCTGGGAAAAACACAGTCCAGAAGCTGTTTATTATTCCACAGCACCATGACTTTGGTCTGACAGCAACAATAAAGTGCCTTCGCCAAGGGCTGAGAGCGACCACGGCACTAAATCAGGACAGGTTTTATTAAATTCTGCTGTTTACATCAGACCCACTAACAGCAGCACAATGCAGCAGTCAAGAGCTGACAACACGGCAATAAAAAATCATTCAAAGATTCAAAGACTGCGTTTGGCTTGTTTCAGAGGAGTTCTTCTTTTCCTCTAATCTGTAGGAATTAAGGCAAGGGACGTTTGCGTAGCTAAAATGAATTGTTTTGTGGGGGTCGTGAGCAGTTAATATACTTTAACTGATTTATCAATACATGGACAACTGCTTCTTGTTGTCCTGTTATGTGTGGATGTGGACTCCAGAAGTCAGACTAACACACGGGCAGGTGGAAAACTCAAAGAATACCTTTAACGAGTACGTGTAGACAGTTCAAGGAAAACAAAGTCCAAAAGGTAACTAAATCCAGAAGGAGGAAAAAACAAACCAACCAGGAAACAGGACAGGAAGGAATAACAAATGCACCAACAAAGGACTGACTGGGCTTGTACACACACTGAGGGATAATGGGAATTGGACACAGCTGTAGGAAGCACAACAAATGGGGAAGATGAGACGAGGGGAAGTAAAGTGAATGCAAGGCGCAAGGACAGATGACTTATCAAAATAAAAAAGGAGGTGAAATAAAACTGAATGGGGAAACAGACACAAATGAACACAATACAGGGGAATTACACAAAAGTGTGAAACTAAACTCTAAACTACCAAAAACTGAGAATGGAACTAAACTGAAAAATATATAAAGAACAGTAACCAAAGATTATAACCAGGAACTAAGGAACAAAGGAAGACTAAGAATTGCCAGAAGACATTCAGATAAAACATCTGGACTTCTTTAAGTTGCTTGAAGACGTTTCACCTCTCATCCGAGAAGCTTCTTCAGTTCTAAGGTCAAATGGTGGGGAGTCCCACCATTTGCCCTTAGAACTGAAGAAGCTTCTCGGATGAGAGGTGAAACGTCTTCAAGCAACTTAAAGAAGTCCAGACGCTTTTCTTTGCAAGCTCCTTTGACTACGACGACCTGGATGACTGAGAACCTTCACAGACATTCAGATAAAACAAAAATACAAAATCTATAAACTTAAGACACTCGGTCCATTACCCAGGACCACAACTCCCTGTACAGCATTAGGAGCCTCTGTTTGTATTTTACCTGCTAATTAAACTAAGCAAGCAAAAATATTAGAAATCAGGATAGATTATTTGCCAAATATGTATTTGGCAAATAATCTATCCTGATTTCTGCAGCTCTGCCGAATAATTATCTGTTTTAGATCTTAAGTGCACACACCAGAGTTTACGCCCTGTGTCTACATTGTGAACTGCCTGGTTCTGGAGATTTTAGCTGAGTAGACATCAGCATTTGCTTCTGCACACTGGACAATCACTTTATGGTGTTCAAAGTGCCAAAAATGACATAAAAAGCACAGCAGTAATAGGTTATTTCAGAGACAGTAATCTGGTTGCTGAAACAAAGTATAAAGAGCTCCACAAGACAGAAAGATAATATAATAATATGTAGGTTTAATTTTAGGAGGAGCTGTCTGGATACCGTGTAAGATCATACAGAGCAGCCTCGTTGTCCCCGGGAACATTTACAATGTTTACCTTATGAAAGGTCAAAGTCTGAGTGCAAAATAGACTAAAGAATCCAAACCTCCATCCATGCATGACTTCTGTCATCACGTTCAATGACAGTAAAGCTCTTTAAGCTTAAAGGCGCCAATTGGAGTTGTCTCTGAACAAACAAAAGTTTATATTTAGATTTTTTAAAAGCCTGGATTGGAATCGCAGCAGATGCAATTCAAGCTTTGTATAACTGTAATAATGTCAAGATGATGTCATATTCTGCAGTTTTCTTGCTACTGGAAATGAAGATGAAAAGACTTTCCATAGTGTTGTATAAGTGAGGAGAATGTGGTGCACTGATGTTTCACGGTATGAAAGCGTGAGTCTGACCAGGCAACGAACAGCATTATGCACAAATTAAAAACATAACAGGATGAAAAGAAAAGCAAAAACAGGAATAAGAACAAAAAACTGTAGAATTTTAAAAAATGTACCACATACGAAAGCAGATCAAATGCAAATATTTACCCAAACACATGTCAACAGTATATAAAGCACACACATGAATGAGCTGTTCCAGAACAATAATATTAACCCAGTGATATAATACACATAATAATTTAACTCCAAGAACAGATTTCAGCATCAACATGCTCCACATATAACGGCCCCATTAAAAACTCACTGATATGTTCTTATGTAATATAACACAACACCAACACAACCTCTTCTGTAAGAGTTTTTGTTTGGATTTACTTCTAGTGCTTATCTTCTGTTGGATATAGTTGATATATGTGTATGATGTAGGTGTCATATATAGCTCGTTTCAAGTGTATGCTCAACTTTCAAATAAAAATCTATGTATATGCAAGCATATGTAAGGAGTCCCTTTTAAATCCATTGTCAGGTCAGGTCTTGTTTGCCGGTGTTATCATCAATGAGCTGCTGATTTCAGCTAATATTGCCCTAAATGAATGTCTCCTTGATTAAAGATCTTTTTTTAAATTTGTTGCAACTGATAAATGGAGTCAGTGAAGTAACAAATTATACAGGAAGTATCTTGCGTAACTTTGTTTTATCTGTCAAAATATTGTCATAAGTGCTGAGACAGCTTCACCGCTCTGCTGCGTTTTAACGGGGCGAGGACGAAGGGTGTGAAGCGCCTCACAGCTGTACAGTGTGTGGACAGCTGTGTGTACACGCTGTCTGTTTACCTTGCACTGAAACACACATCACCAAAGGCACCACCTGTGACTGCTTCGCCTCTGTGTTGTCTGACGGTGCCAGTGGGAAAAAGTACTTACTCATGAGGTGTGTGTGTGTGTGTCATTGTGTGAACAGGCCTCTGTTTCGTTTACATAGTACAGATATTAAACCCAACAATTGCATCTCATCAGCTACTTTACATTAACACAAACATGAAACCACTTGAGTGTGTTCTATAAGGGAAAAACAGGTAGTTGTGTGAGTGTTTGGCGAAGAGGGTGGTGGTGCTGGGATTCACACCTCTTTAAACATCTGGCTCCCCTCTCGTTGTGTAGGAGGAGGCAGCGTGGGCGCAGGTGAGCCTCGGCGGCGCCGCCCTGAGGGAGGCACGGGCCGAGCTAGCCGAGGCCAGGAAGCAGTGGCACTCGCTGCAAGTGGAGATTGAGACCTTACATGCTTTGGTAAGAAAAAACAAATATCTGAAGTTATCATTCACACTGTTAACACTGCTTCAACACCACACGGCAGACTGCCTGTGAAAAGACGACAATAACGAGAAAAAATACTGTTTTTGCGTAATGGTTCAATTTAGCAACTAAAGGGAGTTTTAATACATCTGTGCCAAGATATACATAAGGTTTCTATCTTTCAATCAACGATACTTTATTATTATTTCTTCATTTTCAGAGCTGCTTTCATAAACATTGTGTAACTGATTCCATAACTGCAATTCATGGAAAATCTAAGGAATGAAAACTGGAATAAAAAGAAGTAAAAGTTATGAATATAAAAAAAACCTCATTCAGTTTAATTTCAGTTCAGTTTATTTAATTCCCAACTGCTGCTTTAATGCAATTTTACATTATGGATGTGAATGAACCCACGGAATTAGAAAAAACCCTCTAAAGATCAGACAAACCCCTGTGAACTGTGGGTTGGCAATGGTGGGAAGGAAGAACTCATTTTTAACAGGAAGAAACCTTCAATAGAACGAGGCTGTCATGGTTGGCTGTGTGGCAGGCAGGCAAGCAGGAGTGGTGGACCCAAAATGCAGAACTCAGACACGGAAGTGAGACTTAAAGCGCAGCTTTATTGCTTGGAGAAACCTCGTACAAACTAAACTCACTAAAAGAAAATAAAGGTCGTAATAGTGGAACTGAGGACTGAAACACGGAAGCAGAACACACAGCTAGTTGAAGGTACGACACTAACACAGAGAAACACAGGGCTTAAATACACATATGGCAGTAATCAAGGGATGAGAGACAGGAGGGGAACACACCTGGGAGAAATCACAGCTGACGAGACAGGGAAACGTAAACTCAGCACACTCACATAAGACACAGACCTTCACAATAAAACAGGAAACTCAGACACAGGGAACCAGACAAGACGCTGAACTGAACAGACAGATTCACAAACAGACGGGGTGACACCATAGACAGACAGAGATACAGACGCAGACTCAGAGGCAGACCGAATATAACACTTAGAACTCAAACAATAATAATCATCATAATAATGAACTAGAAAATGATAATAATAAACTTAAAGCGCTGGGTCACTGACCCAGGACCATGACAGAGGCTTAGGGAGGAAGAGCAGTCTGCTATGAACAGTGTGAAGGTGAGGAGACAAAGAGAGGATCATAGAAAGACAAGAACAGCATAAAACAAGCATTAAACTGCTAGTCACCTGATCCAGCCCTAACTAAGTTTTTAGCCTTGTCAATTTGATACACTAGTTAACAAAGTGACCTTTCGTATGCCCACAGAGCAGCGTAACATTTCCTCTTCTATGTACAATGCTTTCTAGAAGCACCTAATTATTAAGACTGGGAAAAGAGTCATGACTTTAATTTTGCTGGTTGATGATAAATTAAAAAGCTGCACAGAATCCCCCTTAAATTTAAAAACGCTGAGTTTACCGTCGTCTAACCGCTCCATCTGGAGAGCTCTGAGCGCTAAAGCGTTTCGATTCATTGTTGACACTAAAGTTTTAAAAGTCTTGATATATTTAGGTGAATTTGTAAAATTGTTTTATTTAATATCGTTTTGTATTCACTGCATTCCTTTTTAAGAAAACAAAGACCATCAAGTCATGATCCAAACAGGTCTTTATTCTCTGGCGTCTAGGAGAAAGGCCTGGAAACGTCCCTCCAGCACACCCAGAGGCTCTACTCCAGCCAGCTGCAGGATCTTTCCCAGGTGATCGCTGGGCTGGAGAGCGAGCTCGAGCAGGTGAGGAGCGGGTTGGCCACCCAGCGTCAGCGCCACAATCAGCTTCTCAACACTAAGATGAGGCTGGAGAGAGAGATTGCTACTTACCGCCGTCTGCTGGAGCGCGAGGAGGGAAGGTGAGCGCGAGACAAAGGGCGAGGAATCTTAAAAGAAGACAGGAGGGTTGTTTGAGCTGGAATTTTGTGGTTTTAGAGTTCTTCCTTGTCTTTACAGTTTAATGAAATGTCTTCCTTGAGAAAAAGAAAAAGATCGCGCATCAAGCAGCAGAGTCTGACAAACTTGGCACGCGCTTTAGTGCCGTGAGCAAGTTAGAAGCGTCATTGTCAGAAGTAATGCACAAAGTAAACAAAATTACTTCTTGTTTGTTTTCTTTAACTTGAGCTGTCAAGCTTTTATGAGTTGACACTTTCAAACCTTAACCTTTATCTTTTGGATTATGTTGAATTTACCTGAATACAAATTCAAAATCCACAATAATTGCAAGTTGAGACGTACTCAGGCCCTGCTCTCCGCCCACGCAACATAGTGGCACATAAACATTTCTGTTAAACTGAAATGAAGATGACAAACTCTCCGATTCATAGTCTGAAAATCCAGCTGTGTCTTTAATTACATGAGCTGACAGAATCCAGACAGTAGAGGCGTCTTTGTCTGGCTTTTTCTGCAAGCGCCAAGTTGTTTTATAGGGGAATATTCAGCTCACCTGACGGGGCCTTTAATTATCTCCTTCCATTTGGACGCTAGACTCTTCTGAGATGCTTCAACACATTTGCTGCATCAACCGCACTGCTGACGTTTTATAGCTACGAGACATCACTTTGACTTTATGCCACATAGGTTACGGGCAGAGTGGAGTGCTGCCTTTGATTTGTCTCATCTCTTTAGATTAACGACGATGATGCAAGGACGGGCAGGACGCATATGAAATGTCTATTGTTTAGTCATATTTGAGAAGGGCGGCATTGAGTGGGATAAAACACAATAAAACAAGAAAAAATGAGAGAGCAGAGCATCTGCATGCATTAAAAACAAGTCTCACTGAAGCTTCAGCACATAAAACCACTGAGGTTTGTGAAATGGGTATTTACCGAATAAAAGCACAAAAGATGATTCTGAAAGGTCGCGCCACAATGCTTTTAGATCATCTTTTAAACATTCATGGTCATGTTCAGTCCAGAGAATACGTCGCTATTATCTTTTGCACCACACTGTGTTAATATCGCAGATGAATTGTTAAATAACAACAACAGAAGTCATGCTCGTGTGTCAGTGAGGTTGTAGGACACATTGCACTGTGCTGCATCATTTGGCTCCAACTGCTCTCACAACCTGAGCACACACTTTGGATGGTCTGTCCAACTCACTGTTAGCATGCTAACATCTGCCAACATTCACAAGTACGCAAAACACAAAGCAAACTTTGAAAATGATAGCACAACGTTACCAACAGTAATGTCAGAAAAAGGTAGTTCTGCTGATAATAGTTCCCAAATTTCTAGAAACTGTGGCTCAGTTTCTCCAAACTCTGAATACAGACTGCTTTGTCAAAACTCCACACATCAAAGGCCTCAAAACAACGCTCTCTCTATTCAAACTGAATCCTCCCCCCAAAATAATACACACTGCTGTTCTATGCTTATGTCTTATAGAACATCAAAGAAACGCTCGTGTGGTAAAAACATCAAACCGTGTTTTAATGGCTATATATTTTTTAAACGACTTATTATAATTTCCAGTTCTTTTGATTCTCATATTCATCATCCGCCTTCCAAGTGTGACGTTACGTTCTTCATTTGTGCTCGTTTCACCCACTGAATTGTTCTTCCAGCGGAGTTTAAACAGGCGCAACATGAGCGAGGCTAATTGGCAACCAGGATGTTACATTTTGATGTCCGGTGTTCCTGCAGGTGAGCGAAGTGTGCAGAACGATGACATCTGACTGAGACCGGGAAATGGGGTTTGAGTGATGTTACTGTTACACTTCATGAGCTTCATGTTTTCCAAATTGTGTGCATAGTTGAAAATGAACCTCCAATTTGTAAGATTGGGGAAACCTGCAGTCGGCTGAGACTGAAGAAGTCACTTGGATGAGTGACGAAACGTTTCTCCCACTGAAAACTCTACGTCCAGATGAACAGAATCAAATTTTTTGGAACATCTAAAAGCAATTTTTAGTACGGATTAACATCTGAGGATTTCCTTTTTGACAGCCCTAACAGAGGTGCTGGTTTGAGGCCTGGTTTTATGTTTGCCACGTGCTTGCTCTTAGGGGATTGTTTGGTGGGGTTTCTCTACAGTATAAAGCACCTTGTTGTGAATAAAATTCCATTCAGTTGTTTTTTATTAAACCTGTTCATGTGTTTCCAGTTGGCCAAACTTGATTAAATTGATACTTTTTTTTGCCTTTTCTGTGTTTATCCCTCCCACAGTCTTCAGCTAATCTGCTTTTCGTTTCACATTAGCATAAAGGATGGGAATTTCCTGGGAATTAAAATGACATGATGAAAGCAGATGACTAAGAAGCAGTTGGGGTGGTATGGAAATATCAAACGACTTGAAAATTAGTAGTAACTTCAGGAAGTTATAATGGCTTTAATTGGAGACAGACCTCCTGCCTGCATAAACATGTATTAGCAGTCGTGGCTTCTACATTACTGTGGATATGAACGCAGAGCGGAGAGCTAACGACCAGCAGTCTGGTTACAACCATAGGTGCTGTATCCTTCATTCTACAGAGAAGCGAAAGTAAAGAACTGTGAACTCATGATATGACAACTTGGTGTCAAACATGGAAACAATCAGACTTCAAGGGATATAGTGCCGCCACAGATCCCTCCCGCCGTCCGAGTCGTACATATATTACACATCTTTACGTCTTCATGTGCCTGCAGATACATGGGTCGTACTGCACAGCCGATGGTTCTGCGGCCATGGAGGTCTTCAGTCGTGGAGCCAAAGGAGAATGGACTTGAAAATGGTTTCAGTGACCTCGCCGTTACTCCCGACGAACCCAAGTCAGAGCCCCTCCCTGACATACCTTCACTCCTCCCAACAGAAAATGGGCTGAAGAAAAGCATACTGTACAGACAGCGAAGCCTGGTGATACTCACAGGTAAGACACACATTTACCTCGCTGTGCGGAGCAAACCAGTCCCTCTTTGATTTAAGGTGTCTCTCATACAGTGTGTCATAATTAAATGAGCCAATGTGACACATTAGGCCTTGTGCTGGCCCATGTGTGAGCCACCTCTGGCAAACCAGATCTGGGCCACCAAAGGGCCATCATTCTTTGCGGTATGTGCAAAGAATGTGTAAGCATATTGTGTGGGCCAGATCCGGGCCATACCAACTTTGCTATGTGGGAATTAGTGTTTTGTCTGCAAAACATATTGATGAAGCTAACAGAGCTCGATAGCGTTACAATTTAGCACTCCAACCTATTTCTTTTTAATTATGGTGACTTCTGGCTCCAGAAACCAACACAGTAGCTTAACACTAGCACCCCCAGGCTTTATGCTAACACCAAAACCGGCAGGTAACGTCACAGTGGCTATGTCCATCTTTTATATACAGTGTATGGGCCTCATCAGAAAAATCAGCTGTGCAGCACTGAGTGGGACATCTCACATCATACTGACAGAAAGATAGCCACCATGTAGCCGCCATTCCTCCATTTTTCTTTTTATTGAGCCAAAACCCTTAAAAGGACTTAAACACAGGACACCAGGCAGGCAGACGGGGAATACTACAAGAGATGTCAATGGACTTGAATGTACAGGGAAAAAATAACAAAAAGCTCTGCAAATATACTGCGGGACATTTTGATTACTGTATAAATATAGAACAGGCAAATATAGAGTGTAACATGAGCCCGGTGTTATGTTCAGCTTCAAAGGAGAGGTTCAGGTAATTTCCATGGGAACAAATGATATGTAAATGTCTTTGGGTCGCATCGGTAATCTTATTTTTTGGCCAAAAAGCTGACGTCTCATCATTTCGGTGCATTCCTCTTTATTGATGGAAAAGTAGTGACACGCCTACTTGTTGCAGTCATTTCTTATTATGGTTTATCTTTAACGACTTCTCGCAGAGCCAGAACTAGATAAGGACTTGCCAATCTCCACTGTGAAGACTCAGGAGATTCTTCAAGGCAATGTGGTGCAAGAAAGCGCGGAGGGTCACGGCACCATTGAGTAAGTATTGATCGCTGTGCTCCCACTTGGCCTGCAGTCAGTGCTTCTGCTTGAGTGTGAAACCTAGGCATTTTCTAATAGTAACCGCTAATTACATCACACAGATAAATCCCTATTGCAAAAACATCTTACTCATGTAATCTCCTGAAGCTTTAACACATTTCAATTAGAGTCTTTATATTAGTTCACAAGCATGCAGTCATCATACTCCACTCCCCGGCGACGTCTAGGCGAACAGAAGAATTACCTTCACACATCGAACGAGTTAGGAGAAACAAAAACATTTAGCTCACAAGTTCCCATGAGTAATTCCTCACTGGGTTGCATGGGAATTCTCCTCCTTTAATGGCCTGTGTTTGATGTGGAGGTACTCGCCCGGTATGCATGCTTCAGGGCGTGACACCTGTTATTGTTGGACGAGACATGGGTGGAAATCTTTGTTCGTGCTTCAGGTATTACCAGACCGAGACACAGCCACGCATACGCACTTGCATAATGTCCTCAGAGAGCCGCAGATGCAAAGAGACGCAGTTGCTCTGCCAGCCCAGCAACTATCAGTCATGTCCTCACACTTTCTCCTGAGTGCGCTGTTGTTTGCTTCAAAGATCCTGTTATTTTCTACATTTTGCAGGTGACCGCGCTTGCCCACATCAAAGATGGACGACCCGTGTTTATTATTTTGTTGTGCTATTGCTGGGAGGGCCTCTTGCATAGTTTGACCTTGTTATTTTGTAATTAGACTAAACCTCGCCCTTCTTCCCTCTCTAAAGATAACAAGTAAGAATGCACCCTGCTGACTTATGTGTGCATATTTGATTGGCAAATAAGATTAGGCTGATGTCAGCAGCTGACTGTTGTGTCACATTCCAGTTTCATGCTGGTTAAATGTTTGAAACATTGTGTGATGAAGAGCTGAAAGACATTCCCACAAAAAAAATGGAAAAATGAACAAGAACTAAATAAAACTGCCTGTTTAAACTAATCAGCGTTGTCAGGAGCAAAGGAAGTGATCGCAGTGATGTGGCAACGGCAGAGAAAGTCAATGACATTCAGTGACTGAAAGTGATGAAGGGTAAGATAACTACTGGCGACAGCTACCAACATCAGGAAAAGTGACTGATTGATAAATGATGGGCTGTTGATACATTAGCGTAACCTAGGTGACCAGAGCCTGAAATATCCACTAGTGTGCGGCTCTTAACTTCAAAGCAGTGCACAGAGCTACTTCCTGAGTGAGGCGTCTGTCTGCAGTTACTGAGCAAACTGGTGTTTCGTCTGTAACTGCAGACTTCAAATTACTAGTATACTAGGAGATAATTGCCAAGACATTTTTAGATTAACAATCCATCAATCAATCACAGTGAAAGATCTACAGACAACTATCACCTGATGTCTTTCACCCTGCTCATACACTGCCTTTTAGTGCATGGCTAATTTGTTTGACCTTACATAGAAGCTCATTTCTAGTCCAGGCAGACACTTGTTCCCAGCAGAAAAGCTCTGACAAACCTATTCCGTACTGCCTGATAAGACCAGACAGCCAAGGACACAATTAGGGAGTAGCTGGTCAAACAGTGAAGCAAGGGGCTGCTAGGAAAAAAGAAAAGGTGTAGATCAAACACAAAGCTGCAAGCAGAGTAAATATTACATTTCAATCAGGAGTGATTATTTCCATCTGATGTGGGAAAAGCAGCAGCGAGATCCCAGCGAATAAAAGAGTCTGCATCAGTCACAACGGACGAGAGATGGATGCAGATGCAAAAGCAACCGTGGACAGGCTGAAGCAATTAAAAACATATGATCGGCATGGGATATCTGGGATCTAGGTGGAGTGAATTCTTTTTTTTATATGTGCTGGTTTCTTTTGTTTGGTTTTTGTTTTGTTTATCAAGACGAGCCCTCATCACTAAATTTGTTTTTCACTTTATCCGGAACATCTACAGATTTTAAAAGAGATCAGGCTTTCTCCTGGCAACCCATCCAAACAGTCATACTTGTTTTGTCTATTTCTAATTGAACTCTCATGAACCTTAACATTTAAGTTGCTAACTGAGGCCTGTGGGGTCTAAACTGGAGCTTTTGTGTTTTCTCGGTGTGGATTCGATGCGGCGTCCACTCCTGGGAAATGTTTTCCACTTGTGAAAGTAGAGCAAAGGATTTCACATTGTTTGGAAATGGTGTGATAACTTTTTCCAGAATGATGGGCACCAACGATTGCTTGTCTGAGATCATTGTGGGCTTTCTTTGTCATTATGTTAACACACACATCATTGCTCCAGACCATCAAACTGTCAAAGCCTCTGCTTTTACGGCATCACTCACAACTGTGTTTGTAGAGGTGCTGATGATTAAATCAAGTGGATTTGATTAGCAGTAATGGGCTGTTACTTGGAAGCAGTCCTGTGAAAACTTGTCTTGATGCATGCTCAATCATCCAGGTGAGGAGGTCCCAAAAAAAATCTGTTTATCTGGATGTAGCGTTTTCAGTGGGAGGAACGCTGGTTTGACTGGGGAGTCAAGGAACACATTTACATGGAAATCGAGGAGGAGACCTAAGGGTACATCTTTCACCATCTTACAATGCTGTGAATGGTGCATATGACCATTGATCAGTGGTCATGGCAATTTACATATTAATGATCATGAAACTGACCTCACAGTGTTGCTGGTTTCAGTCATTATGCAGATGTTCTGTTTGTAAGGAAACCTGCAGTCAGCAGAGACTGAAAAGTCACTTGGATGTGTGGTGAAACAACATGTCCAGAACAGAATCAACTGTTATTATTTTAAACCAACGTCAAATAATTTCCCTTTACTTTTGTACTTTTGCATTAATATGCATTCTGAATTGTTTGAGTCTACCCCCGAACGTAAAACCCATATTTTAATAAGCTAAAACGACAAACGCTTAAACCATCAAAACTAAATAAAACTGACATGTTAAAATATTAAAGATGAAACTGAAACTATCGAACCCACTTTGGAAACCATCTGACACAAAAACAAACCAAAACAAACACACATAAATGTGCAACCTCTGTGTTTCAGTTTTCTACCACTCTGTTAGTTGACCCTGTTTCAGCTGTGACACACTTTAAAGTGCAGTAGTGGGCTCAGGCAAGGTCTCTCTCTCTCTCCCTCCCTCCCAGACAGTTGTATCATTATGAATGTGCAGACAAATTAAAGGAAACCCCAAATAACCCTTAGCATGAGAGGATCCAGAGGCTCTGTTGTGCAATTTCAGAGCAGTTCGCTGACACGGCTTGGGTCTACTTGTCTCTTTAAAAGGAAGGGTCACTGTAAATCAATGGAAAGCTGATTGACTGTCTCCCAGAATATCAAAAGCCTTCAAAAATAGTTTGATGAGGATACAAAATGATGTGTTATATCATGATTAAAATATGTTTCACATCATGTCTTATCAAAGGCCACATCTAGGGCAATTCAAGCTCAGCACATTTTAGCATCAGCGCTCTCCGTCGCTGCCCCCTGCAGGCTCTATCTGTCTCAGCAAGGATGAGAATGAATGAATGACACTTAGATGAAAAGACAGATTTTCAAATTCAAAGAGAAGATGAGTCATTGCACAAACAAAAGAAACGCAAAGAGCCCGATAACGTTTTTCACAGAATCTGTTTACAGTTTGCATATTCACCGTTTATTACCAACATCTCCAACGTCTCTCACCAGGACAGAGAAGATTGATAAGGTGATAAAGCAGTGGGAGGGCTCCTTCTTCAGGGGGAATCCCAAGCTGAGGAAGAAGTCCGTGTCGCTGCGCTTCGACCTGCACATGGCCACGGCGGACGAGGGGTGCGCCCAAACTAAACAGGACAGCCTCCCCGACGTGGAGGTGCGTCTCATCATGAAGAGATCCCGCAGCATCCCGACCATCACGCAGTAACTCAGTCACCGTTGGGCCCGAGCTGACACCGGTTTGCGGTAACAGAAATAACATTTGTGCCGCGACGGTGGGCACGTTACCACCCGTCACCATCGTGCTTAATCTGAATTTTAGCTGATGAGCTCCCATCAGATCTCATCTTTGACAGGACGATCATTAACCATCAGGCTTTTGTGGTGACCATTTTTATAGTGTCAGAAAGACTTACAGTCATTAATACACAGAGGATAAGTATTTAATATGTAAAACATATTTCTGCGTCATCATTTTAGATGAAGAAAAGCTGTCTTTGAACACTTTGTTTCAGTTAGGTTTCACTGGATTAAAGACATAACAATGACTCTGCTTAACTACAGCATTTAACCCTGATTAGCACCTGGTACAGGAAGCTGAGAGCACAGGTAGACTTGGATGGATGGAGACACAGCACTAAGAGCTGCTGTGAACTACCTAAGAGTGGATTTTCATGTTTTGGTAGATTTTCTGTGAGGGGCTGTATGAAAATTACAAAGTTTTGTTTTTTATTTGTTTTTTTGTAGGAATGACATATAAAATTTGTCAATGCCGCAGAATCGTTCCACTCCAGTCTGCATCTCAGAGCAGAGCAAAAAGTGTGTAAAAACATCAATAAATAGATCAGAATTGGAAAATTGATGGAAGAATTTGGGAAATTTGCCATTTTCCCTTTTGATATGTGCATCGGTGACCACGTGAAAGTTATTTTCCCATCAGATCATTAGCATTTAATTTAGAAGACAGTGTTAGTCTTTAATCCTTCCACCGTGAGGTTTCTGCACTGGGAGAAAATTTTATCTGTTACAAAAGTGCAATTCACACCATTTTTCAAAAAAACTTACACACTGACCAAAGAAGCCGCCTGATATTATTCTGACTGAAATAAAAATGCAATCAAAGTGTAATTTAAATAGCACTTTTAAAATAGAGTTTACAAAGTGCAAAAGAAAAAATCTGAGAAGGAAAACTTCTACTGAAAGTCACATGATGGACGAAAGAATCACTATGATGGCTTTCAAATGTTTCTCCTGCATTAGGTACCAGTTAGTTTAACCTGTGGCCTAATCAGATTTTTAGGAGGGCCATCTGAGAGCTAAACCTACGTCTATTAACCAGCTGATATTCGTTAACACTGGATGGTTAGTAGATGGACATCCAGTCCCATCAGGTAACCTTTGACCGTGCAGCACACTTGAAAAAAACAGAACTTGACCCAAAGGAAGACCAAATGAACAGCCCAGTTCTTTATGGGCAGCCCCAAAGTGCTTTTCAGTTATTCTGTGTATAAAAATAGATGCGTTAGAGGCAGTACTGAGCAGGAAGTGCAGGTGATCAGGTGAGAAATCAAAAGGTAGCCAATAAAACAGTGACAGGAAAAATATAAAAAGAATAAAAAAAACACAAATCAAAATTAATAACAAATACTAATGATGAATTTAAAAAATGAGTTTAAAAAATAATAAGAGATCATCAAATAGAACCGATTTAACAATTGTTGGACATATCAGACGGGTCCAGACTGTGGGGGGGCAAAAACAGAAAGACCAGGTCACCTTTGGGTTTCAGGTGAGAGGAGTCTGTAGTGAGGATGACTCTGAGGTGAAAGAGAAACAGAACAGATGGAAACAGAATGTTTGGGATTCCAGCACTGAGATGGGGGGTTAAAAAGGCTTGTTTGCAAATAGACGAATGTGCCACGATTCAAGAGGTCATCCTGAAAGGCGGAGTCCTGCACAGATCACAGATTCATTTTAAAAAATTAATTAAAAAATGTAAAAAGAAAAAAAAAAGGTTGATGGAAAAATCATTCTAACTAATCTAATAGATCTATATACATTTTTAAATGACATCCTTTATTTATCCCAATAAAAGACAGTAACATCTCTTTTTCAAAACAGCAGCAGATAGTTCAAACAAGTTCACGCAACTACAGATCATGCACAATAACAGGTCACATTTCAGTGCAACTTACTTCAATTTCCACATTATAACCATCTCTGACGATTTCAGGTACATATAACATCAAATGTGTAGATGAGTGTCTTAAACTTTGCTTTTAAAGTAAAGCCTTGCTCCGTGTCCGCTAATTTTCATACAGTCCCTTCCTGCTTTGCACTGCAGACACTCACAGCACTGAAAGAAGAGTTTCTTTTACTCTGAGGGTCTTTTGTCATTGCGGTTAATCCTCTGTGTGGGGATTTAAAAAGAATACAATAATATATATTGCTATGGCGTTATTGTGTGATACTCACTGTGAACCAAACAGCAGTGAGAATTTAGATTCCCCGTCTTAACCAGAGGAGGGCAGTGTTTGTAAATAGTTACCACTGCAGAGTGTTCTCAGTGCTCCACTCGGTCCTGTAACACGTCCTGTTGCACCTTAGACTCAAGTTTTTATGCTATCTTTTGAGTTGGCACCAAAGATAAATATATATATATATATAAAAGAAGCGGACCGCTGAGCTTTGCATTTGGGTCCCTTAAGATATGTTGAGAATATTTAAAAAAATTACCTATGCAGTTCTGTACTTGGTTTTGCTTTGCTTCAGGAAGCACACTCTTCATTTGAATGAAGCATTATGCTTTTATCTAAAGATTTATCATTTCAAATAAAACACAGAAATATGTGCAGACTGTTGTGTTTTCTGTCACGTCCAAAATAAAGCTTCTTCTTCTTTATTATTTTCACACACACTATTAACATATGAATAGTTAAAAATGTTTATTTTCCATCATGAAAAACAAAAATAAAAATCCACGAACATACAGAGAATAAAGTTTTTACAGTGCATTGCAGTGTAATAAATACATTCAGGGGTAGCTGCAGAATTTGAAATGAACTGACCTACCAGGGTTCATTTGTTTCTCTTCAAGTCTTTTCACCTTCAAACTTTTAATTACCACATCACTATATTTCGATGCATCAGATAATGCACGTTCACCTCTCAGGGAAAAGGCCTTCTGTTCTTATGAAGACATAACGTGCCGCTTTCTCACATCTACAACTGTTCTCTCAGCAGTCTTAAAAGAAATAGTTGGCTTTGTTTTACTGCTTTTACAAGCTGATTGGATGACATTCAAACTATGGCGCCTCATTCATTTACAATCATGTTATAGGTGCAGTCCACTATATCCTAATTTTTCCCATAATCACTCATATATCTTTTAATATGATTTTTATCATCTGATCAAACACCGGAACCTAAATCAGGTTTTCCTTGCAATTCAGCAGAAACACAAACTTGTCCAGTTTTCTCCAAAGCAGTAGCGACACTTCCTGTAACCACCATACTGGACAGGTTATTTGTAGAAGAGCACAGTGTTAAACAGAAAGTGTAAGCAGGAGTCCTGAAGATGTATCACGCCGTCTCTGGGTTTGCATGTTTATGGCCTGGATACAGCTGCCTGAATCACCTTGATGACTTCGCTGCAGGGCTGCAGGGTGTCATATTCTGCAAATACGTGACAAACATTCTCCATACCGGCTTCAATGCCCTTTGCCACAAAGCCAAACAACCTGTCGGCACAAAGAAACATGAGTCAGATTAATCTGCACCCCAAGAAGAAGATATTTTTCAAAGGGACCTCTTCTGCTTTTCATTATTTACTGTAAAATATATTGTTCTCAGTAGTATTCATAGAAGCCCCACCCACATCCTATTCAAACAATTGATTTATGAGGGGCAGCCAATAAGAAAAAAGCTGGCTTAAAAGGGAGGAGCTGACTGAAACACCTTATTTCAGAAAGAGGATGAACTGAGTTCCTGCACCAAGACACAGTGTAAGATAAAGAAGGATTATTTTGAGCTGCTGCTGATGCAAAGCTACACTAATACAGCTAAAATGTGTAAATGAACAGAACAGGTCCCCTGTTTAGACTTGAAGTTCAGATTACCTTGCACCAAAACTTGAACCTCTCGTCCACCTGTGAGTATAAGACAGACAAATGTTCAGATTAGAAATGAAACACGTTGATGACCATCAGTGGAGATGATCTCTGACGTCTGCGCTCGCAGCTCATGTCGTGCATACTCACACTCGATTGTCTGGATCTTCACCACCGTAGCTCAGCATGTGTGCAGGGTAATGGCGCCTGAAGAAGAGCCTGCAAGAAACGATGAGTCTTGACCCAGTGTCACACACAGACCACACCTAAACAGCACGGCAGCGCATAAAATCTCAGCAACACGTTGATTTCATGTGTTTTCTTACTTCCTGTTGATGTCTGTGAGAGTGACACCCTTCAGAGACACTTTCATGTTGACTATGGTTGGTGTGAAGGAACCTGGAGCCTTCTCGAGTGTTGAGGACACCGCCCTTTGCACTGCACAGGGGCCCGTCAGCATCTCAGTGGGGATGGCGTTAAGGTAGACAAAGTTGGAGGCTGTTGACAAGACAAACAAACACACTTGTTAAACACAGAGATGAGGGGTTGTTTCGACTCTGCCACTGGGAGACTTTAAGTACAGAAGGGAGTGTTGTCAGAAAGTAAGAAGAGCTGAGGAATGTCCTCAGACTCCCCATGTTTGTGTGTTAATAAAGGAGACTATAAAGTTTGTCTTGTTGCTTTGGAGGATTATATATTTTCACTTCATTTATTTATTTTTCTGTTGAGAAATCTCTCAGTATTTCACCGAAGTAAATAAAATTTTGGGATACTTTGTCCTCCATTTATCTGTGTCGAAACAAAGATGGCTGCCTGCCTGGTTGAGTGGACTTGAGCCAAAACAGCTGGAATGTTTCAAAGCCTGAACATTTTTCTCCCACTTAGTGAAAGGAGACTTTGAGGAATGTGGAAAAGCCTTCAGGACGACGCTAAGTGTTTTTAATAATATCCTGAGTTTTTCAGACTTTAAAAGAAAAGTTCGGTCTTTGAACTCTCACTGATGAAGCAACACGTGGCTGTGGCGTGAAATCAGCAGCATCTCTAACGCCGTAGCTCTTTACCGAGAAGAGGTATTATTACCACCTGTGAGAGGCTTCACGGCTGTGGCAAGTCAAACTGCCTGACAGTCAGTCAAGCTGTTTGCTCAGGAAGTCAATGCACATGAAAACAGGGGTGCAGGTAAAAGCAACACTTTATATTCTGCAGATAAAAGCGATGTGCAAACCCTCAAACCAGGCTTTCGATGTTTGTGAGCAAACCTCAGATAACAAGTCGGTGGGACACGGTAATATCAGCATTTCCTGCTTGGCTGCAGAGCAGAACAGTAGTGTTTATAACCGCAGGACAGGAAAAGGTTGAATGCAAGGGGGTTAATTGTTGTTGGTTTCTTAACTCTTCTTAACTCTATCATAACTCTGTTGGTCAGACTCCTGTTACTGCTTATTTTAGAGTTTAATTTGTTGGAGTTTAACTCTGACCCTGGCTGTGCTGAAGCACAGGTACAGCTTTGTGGCGAACAGAAGGAAACCTGCAGCTGCGCTATATTAGGTCACACTAACCTGTGTTTCCATTAGCTTAATTTTAAATTAACCCCGTCCTAGTTTTTGGAGTGTTGGTGCAAAATTATGTATTTAATCATATCTTAAATCATAACTTATCATCAGTGTTTGCTGCTTAGAAAAGGTCCACTTTTTAATACCTTTAATATTGTGATCTGACAGAAAATGTCCAGTTTGTCTTTATTTTGGCAAAGGCAAAGAAGTCTTCCCCAAATCCTGGACACTGGACCAGGCCAGGTCCTGTACAGGCCATACTACTTATCTAAAAATGCCCAAACAGAGTCAGTTGTTGGGGCGTTACATGGACTCACCTATTTTGTTGTCGTCCTCTGAAGGTGCTCTCTCTTTTGCTCTCTCCTCTGCTGATCTCAGGTCTGTGTAGACAGATAAGATTTGAGTTTTTTATTTGAATATGAGGGGCTTTACTGGCACAACAGTAACACCAAATGACTTAGAAATGACACTTTCAGTTGATTCAACATTAATGTTTTTTCCAGTGTTCGTGGTGTCTGTCCCTGATGTTGGGGGCGTGTTTGTCAGTACTGAGCAGCAAGTTGTCCCTGTTCTTCTTCTGCTGGGAATATTTCTGCTTTTTTTTAAAAAAATTTTTTAATGTGGCATTAAAGCACAATAGAACTTGTTCAAGTAAAGATCTGTTTTAGTGTCATGTTTCAGTTTTCTGCTCATTGCCAGTACATTAGCAGACTCTTGGAAACACCCCTGGTTTCCCTGCATTACTGTTTCTTCCTTTTTTCAGTTGCCAGCTTGTGGTCGCTGGAGCCGCACTCTGTTAGGATCTGTTCCTGCTTTTTGTCTCTGACGTGAGAAAGATAACCCGACAATCCATAATTTGAAGAAACATTCTCATTTAGTTTGGCTTTTATCTTCTTTCCAAAATAGTTTTAGTTGTTAGAATTTGGTTTGGAAAGTAGCCCTACTGTGAGAAAGGCCAAGCGTCTGAGTGAGGACACCTTCCTACCTCGTTATATCTTTGACACAGACAGAAAAACACAATCGACTATATCTAAAGGATGGTCATGACCTCAGTGATGCCACTCATTGGTTTGTGTCCATCATTTTGATTGGTCGAAAGGGTAATTTTGGTTGTCAGCACCACATAAGAAGTGTGGCTTGGAGCTGACTGAGGACATTGCTCACTCATTGACTTGCATCTTGTGATTGACAGGTTATTAGCCAATAAGTATATCTTGGAGAACCCTCCTTTGTGACTGATGATGATTTACAAAATGAACTAAATATTTTATTCAGTATTATCTGAAACTACAGGTTGAGCCCGACTGCAGCTGGCCTAAAACGCTGCAGCACAGTTACTAAGTCAGTTTCTGAATTGTCTTTAAGATTTTATTGTTTGTTTTTAAGGCATTGCAGGAATTAGCGGCTTCATACCTTTTCTGATCTTTTGAACCAGTACACTTCTTCAAAGTCACTGAGGTCTGCAGAACAAACTCCTGGCTTTCCTGAGGTCCAGATTAAAGCACAGAGGCGATCAGGCCTTGGCTTAAAAAGCTTAATTCCCAGCAGTTCTTTTTTAACCCTTTCCTAAAAGCTCAGACTCGATCACTGTTAAGTTCAGCTCGAGCTAATATGACTGAAATTAAGCCTTCATTCAAAAATATCTTTATATAGTATGAATGGTTGTCTACAGCTGCTTTTGTCTCCAGATAGTTCAGTCTCTCTCACATAGTCTCTTTCTGCAGCACACAGCAGGTATCTGTCGCTCTCAGGGCCCAGCAGTTGTCCTTTACAGTCGATTCATTATATTGAAGGAAATATGTTAAAGGCCCCTTTAGAAATACACTTTAAAACAAAAAGTCAAACTCCATTATTTTAATGTTTATGAACCAATATTGTTTGCAAACCTTGGAAAGGATGCAGGTTTAAGGCAATCTGATAGTTTTCAAACATGAAGATTACTTTTATTATTTATTATTTATTAAGTCTCAGCACTAAAAAAGTTAAGTGCTGGTCTCCTGCAGGTTTTAGATCTCACCCTGGGTCAACACACCTGAATCAAATGATTAGTTCGTTACCAGGCCTCTGGAGAACGTCAAGACATGTTGAGGAGGTCATTTGAATCACCTGTTTTGGAACAAGGATACATCTAAAACCTGCAGGACACCGGCCCTCAAGGCCTGGAGTTGCCTACTCCTGGTGTGTGTGTGCAGTAATAACAAAGGCTCAGTTACCGTGGCAGTAGAGGCATAATCTGCAGGGTAAGGCGTACGCAGAAATGGTGTGCTGGTACACCAGGGCAGAGAGACTACCTGCAAAGACACAAAGCAAATCACAGCTCCAGCTGAGTACAGATAAGCAACTTTCTGATTGGCTATCTCAAGAACAATAAAGTTTGAACTTTATCCTCAACACTTTGCCAGGTCTGAAGACAACCTACAGAGTTTTGTTATGACACAGAGACTCACTACAGTATAAATCCTTCTGCTGCTATGATGACTGTTTTTCCATATTTCAGTGACAACATTACTGTAACGTTACATATCTGTGGCGAGAGACATATCAGTACATGGCCATGGGTGTCTGATTACAAACCAGTGACCCACACTACTGATAAGAAAGGTTCTTTGGGTGTGAGAATACACACCCTTTTTACTAATGCTCAAAGGTAAGATCCATGGCACTCATGCCCACCCACATCCCAGGAGGCGAGAGATCTCTGAGTCAGAGCAGCACTCGCTTTTTAAACAGACGAGTGAATTCTCGGTGGGTATGAAACTGATAACTCGACTCACCAAAGTAGGGTTCCTGAGAAGAGCCTTTAATGCGCACGCCTTTGGCGGATGATTCAATGAGGAAGTGTCTGATAAGATCAGAGCTGCTTTCCCCTGTTTTGACAAAAGGACAAATGTCAGAGAATGAACAATATATGAAGGCAATGTGATAAAGAAGCACTGGAATAACCCTTTCCCACCAGTTTCTTCAAAAAAGAAGACACAGAACCACATAATTGCTCGTGTTGACGTCAGTGGCTGTGTGGCAGGGCACCGCAAGATGTTCATCAGCGATTGGCAAATGCAACCTACGAATTCTTTCACCCGGCTTCAGTAGCGCTGCTGCACAGGATTCCCAAACCTTTCGAAATGTGAGCTTGTTCTTAAAAGGCGCTGAAGCAGAGCTGCCTCTGCACAGCACTGAGACCACAATGATGGAAGAGAGGCATTAGTTACTAATGGCGCTGGATGGCAGTGATTTCTGAATGTGAGAGACGCAGGGTACATAAAGCTTTCAAAAAACATTATGTTGCTGCTGTAATAAGTAAAGTGCTGCCATTCATTCAGTGCGTTTTGTCTCCATACAGCCCAGATAAATTAGATTTAATAAATGTAGAGTTTTTCAGGTAGTTGTCTCCTGTCATTTGCTGTGATCAGGGAGTTAATTTACTTTAATTTAAAATTCATTCTGACTCACAAGGCCACCATAAACACATAAATGAGGCCATCAACGATCTGATGTTGTCGTCCTGTCCTATGTTTTTCCCCCTAACGACTGACTAGTGCCGGTCTGTCGGTAAAATAGAGTCGCGGAGCTTTACAGCCTAATTTATTGGCCGTCCTCACGAGCAGTGCTGCGAGGTTTCAGGGCATGCACTCTCTTCTTTTGTTCCTCACTTTTTTGGGGGGCTAGGTGATTATCAGCATGCACATGACGCTGTCAGTCATGTGCATGGAAATTATAACAGAAAAGAATGACAAATAGACTATTACAGTGTTGGATGCTCATCTTAAACTGGCAGAAGTTTTGTTCGGTAATCTCTGGGAGCGGAAAGCTCACATTGAGAGCAGATATTCATCCACCTGCTGTTTGAACCTTCTGTTTGTACGGAGCAAACAATCAGGTGAAAGTTCATTTAAAGGGAGAGGAGCTAAAATGATTCATTTATGACAAAGGGTAAACTGAGGGACTGCACTGAGACCAGAGTTAAGGATAGATTGGTGCTGTAAGCGAGCAGAACAGGCAGCCTTTATATGTCTGTATGTGAAGGATTTATAACTTTAGCTTAGCTAAGGCAAACTGTTTGGTCTCACTGAGTTAATTAGTGTTCTTAGTTCCATTTTATAGCCTTACATTTTTGTGGCTGGTTTAAATAAAAGAGGCATTATTATATAATGTTCTGCTAAAGAAAACCATGCTAAATAGAAAAACATGTTGCTAGATTGCCCGGGATGTAGGGATTAATTCGATGGATGGAGCCTGTCAGTGAAGTGGTCTCAGAGCTTGACCAACGCTCACATATCCCGCATTCCTGAAAGGGATGAAAACGTACAAATCTACAAACGAGGCAAGCCTCAAAATTGTTTCGTGAGTGAGGTCCTTTTTCCCCCTCACCGACTGCTTACAGTGCCGTAAACAGCTGGTTTTCTTTTGTGTTTATACAAGGTATACTGTGGTAGGAAAAAATGACAGCACTGCGTGCTAGCACGCCACAGATCGCTTGATGTCGTCAGCAGAGTTGGGTAAGGCATGCGCTGCAGGGCTCTGGTATAGACCAGAGCATTTATGTAAAATTAGAGATCTTTATACACCGTCTGTGTTATATATGAGTAACAACAACAGCAATACGCTACGCTGTATTCATGCTTTGTGTGTGCAGTTGTGTTTTTTGTGGCTTTAAGATCTTCTGTTTCCTGGATCTGACTGATTTCTGCTTTTGAAACTGAGGTCAGGCCACTGCTCTTACTAGTGAGCTTACCTGGATAGGCAGCAGCAGTAAAGCTGGTGGGCGTTTGATCTACCTTCATGGCCAAACCAAAACTGCCTCTGTAGGAGGTGCTGTCTCTCACCACAAAGGTTCCTGCTTCCTTGTCTTTTACCAGAGCTTCAGCTAGAATAAATAAGACATCAAAAATGCTCAGAAAAATGCAACAACGTGTGTTTTATTACTCAAGAAAAACACTTATTGATCACTTTAGCTTGATGGCACAGTTTCAGAGTTTGAACAAAGCTTTCGAGAAGATTCCCATTGATGGAAAAGCACTGAATGTGTTTAACTTTGTGGTGAATGCTTTCATGCTGAATTGCATCAACATTTTGTACTTTAAGCAGGACTGTGAAATGAAATTGTTACTTTTGAGACCTCCTCAAACGAATCCACTGTGAATTTAGTGCTTTTACTGTAAGGTCTTCGTGTGATGCTTGCTTGGGTCTCACCTTCTGCTCTGCTGATGTGTGGACGGAACCAAAACTTTGACGTATCCATGACAAATTTCATCGATGGCTGGCTGCCGTTAAAACGGGCTTGAGAACTGGAATATGTTGGTTTTGACACAGGGTTCCTCTGGAGTAACTCGATCTGTGGTTCAGGGCTGTGCAGGTCCTGTTGAGGTGCACCGTTGACTAACAGTACGGGAATATCGGTCAGTGACCCTGAGACTGGGCCGTTCTGTGCTCTTCTGCTGTTCACTTCCTGTAAATGTCCTCGCTTTGTCTTCAAGGGCTTCTCCAGGCTTTGCCTGTTATTACATGGCTTCATCCTGGAATCGTCACTAAAGGAGCCGGGTAGCATGGACTCTGGAAAATCAGCATCTTCACCGGTTAAGGAGAGGTTACTATGAGGAAAGAAAAAGGAGGAAAAATAACGTTGGAAACACACGGTTCTTTTGCAGTGAGACGTTTTTTTATATTTTTAATTCCCTCTAGAAGGATAACTATAATTAAAGGAACAAAGACTTTAATAAAAAACATGTTTTTTGTTTTTTGAATTTAAAAGTGTTTTTGTAATTATCCTGTGCAAAAGCAAACCTCTTCGAGAGGCTTACCTTACTTTGTGAATGAAAAGGTCTTCTTAATGATTAGCATGGTTGAATTGAGGTTCTAGTCACTTAAGCCTCTTTTCCATTATTACCTACTGGGCTTGACTAGGCACAGTTTTCACCTGTTACCAGGTACTTTTTTAGTACCTGCTTGGCCGGGGTTCCAAGCAATCCGAGCAGGTACTAAAATGTGACGTCATCGACTGCATGCCACCAATTGGCTGGTCAGTAGCATCACTCTACGAGTCATGAGAGTGTTTTGTTCACGGAAATCAAAACCGGCATTTTTGAAACCCGACAACTGGGAAATGGCAACAAAAAACAACTCAGTGATCCCCAAGTCTGACAAAAATCCACAGACCGAGCAGCAGGTTTATTCTTGTCCACCTTTGTTGTAGCGTTCGTGCTGCGTATTAATTAAGTTGTGGGACGCTTGGACACGTTGGCATGACAAAGATCATGCACATTTGGAGGTACTAAATTGTAATGGAAAACCAGTCAATCCGAGTAGGTTTTATGGCACTACATTAAGGCACAAAGTGGTTTTAAACCAAAGTACAGCGCTGTTTTTGGAAATGCAAGTCAGTTTTCTTCTTTTCTGTTGATAGATTAAGTTATTTTTTTAATATTTCAAACTATTTCAGAACAAAAGAAATTACAGTGGGTAACTGGTTATCAAATGGTAAAAGCTCAAATAAAAGCAAATAATTGTGTGTTAAATGCCTTTTGCCTTCGATATATGCAGACTGTGCTTGTGTGTAGTGCCCTGCTAAATAAAAGCAGGAGACTGAGCCAAGAAAAACCATGAAAAGTCTTTTCTAGCTCTTCCTATTAAAAGTGTCACTAAGTTCTTCCTCATGGAAGACTGTCGTGGAGTCTTCCATGAGGAAGTTATAATTATAATGCACCTTTAGACGACTGTTGCGATGTAAACTGGTGCTGCAGGTATAGAACAAATTGAACATAAGGTTGTGCAGTATTTTAGGCCTAGTGCAACCTGACCTATTTTTTTCTAGCTACAGTTTTAAGTTGCTCTATAAATACATGACAAACAGACACTCGTGAAGTACACATATAACACTCATTGATTCTGAAAGCGCACAGCTGTAAGGATAAACTTGAGGACTATGTGATTGTGCTTGTTCAAAATGTAGACTGCGGGTTGCAGGTTTCGTGATAAGAACTCAAGTGGGTGATTGAAGTCATTTCTCACAGGAAATCAAAAGACAAAAATAACCAAAAATAAATAAAGATGAGTCACAATAAGTTGTAAGACCTGTTTTAGATCAGGGGAGAGATGCATGTCAGAAATTGTTTCATGTCAGAAATTTGGAGTACATGGACATAAATTGTCCTGATTTCATAGTAAATTCAGTAAAAATGTGAAACTAGTGTATTTCACTGGGAAGTACAGTTAGTTTCTGCATGCCCCCCCCTTCCCTTTCTTTAAATAAGGAGAATCTTGACTTTGTGTTTAGAAATGAACCCTAACACTTGTGAAAGGATTGAGCATAATGCTTTGAAACTGTGTTTAAATTCTTTCAGGCCTGCTTGAAGTTTGAGACTTGGAGTTGGAGTTTGGCTCTGACCGGTGATGGTTAAAGTTTGGAGTAAGATGCTTGGGAAAGCAATAATATCTGTGTGTGTTTGTTTGTGACCCTCGCCTACACACAGAATGGAACAGCTTTTAGTCACAATGTGAGCACTGCTCATCCAAGTCGATCAGGCCTTCTCTGCTCGTGTCGCCTCAAAATACTCACCATGTTTAAAGTGGATCAGTTTTCAAGACCAGAAAAGTGGACAGAATGGAAGACATTTGTATCATGATGGGATGTCTTACTGAGTTTTACCTGCCAAGGATGTAGCTGGTGTCCGAGCAGGTCGAGGTGGAGAGCAGTGAGGCGGTGCTGTTTCTGTTGGAGTGTGACAGCCGCAGTGATCCTTGGCAAAAGTCATTCTTCGGTGAGGGGTTTCGCCTGGGTGCGCTGCCAAATGGCAGCGGGGGCAGAGAGGACGTTGGGGAGCTGGAGAAAACCAGCGTCCCTTGGGGACTGCATCTGAGGCCGTTATGTGTGGGGATGGGTATACTTGGGGACACCGAGGGGACCACTGTGGGTGATGAAATGGTTGAACAGCCTCTAGGAATGAGCACAACTTCAGAGAAATCTTCATCTGAGCAAGAGGCATCTGTGGGTGGAAGGGTGAGATGTTAGTATTGGGAGGGAGTTTATTCTGGTGAGGAAAAAACAGTGTTGGTTTGGTTTATATCAGCAGAACTGGCTTGGTGTGTATGTAAGGACACGGTTGCCAGGTATTTTTGTCATGCAGGTACCTGCTTGCACAGAGTGTTCTTTGAGTTGCACATTTGTACTGTTGCTAGAACATTAGATCGCCTAGAGGAGCCTCAGCCACTTCTTGATTCGTCAGGATCACCGTGGTGATCGGCACTCAGAGAATATATGCCCTTAAGAAAATGCCATAGCATGTGGTGTCTGTATATGCCAGACGAGCGGCTTCTGCAACCAGAGTTGCATAATTATGACTAATGTTCATGCAGAAAGAGCGAAATCTGCCTGAATATGGAGATATTTCTCCACACTGCTGCTTGATTTCCTTTAAACTTATTCACCTTTTCAGAACACGTGACAGTTTCATAAACACACGACCAAACTTCTCTGAAGAAAAGATCAGAAACAGGAAACCCATTTATTTTTACACATATGTATGTATGCTTTGACTCTTGCGCACACTTTCTGATGAAAGCAGGACTGAATGAGGCACCGTTGTTCCACCCCGGTGCGTGACTGCTCGCTGAGCCTTTTCAGTCTGTAGCTGTAACACATGCAGGGTGTGGTACAAGTCTGGGCAATAATCCCAGGACAGACAAAGTGGTGCAATTACAACATGATTAAAAATATTAAAACTATCTCAGAAAGGGTGGGTAAATTTCCAGAGCCCAAGGCTATCTGTACTATTTGTTTACAAGGGTGGCTATGGTTTTACTGTGCTCTGTGTCACACCTCTGAAAGCTGGGAGCTTTCAAGAGTTAGACTGAAGCATAAAAAAGGGCTAAACAGGCCCTTTATACAGGTTATATCTGGTCCACATATCACTCTAAATTGTAAGTAAATTTAACTTTTCTACAATAGTATATTTAGGTAAATGATCAGAAAGCAGATTTAACATGTAGGTACCAAATGTGTAGGCAACATTAAGTTGCTTTAGTTTATTGCTGAAAGTGTGATAACATGATGGGTGAAACATGATGACAAGTTTTCCCAGCACACTGCCTGTAACCAGGTTCCAACAGGGTCAAGGGGAGTAATTTTAAGAGAGATGAGAAACTGATGACTTCTTTACCAACAAGCAATGTTTTTACATGCTTGAATCCACAGCAGCAGAGAAAATAGCTTTGAAAAAGTTGCTGAACTGATTTTAAGAGACATGCAACCAAAGCAATATTTAAACTTGCTTATGACCACTCTGCATGAAGTGTCTGAGTTTGAAGTGTCTTTGAAATTGTCTTATTACTGTTTGGACTAATGAAATAGCTTTAAACCCTCTTTAAACCCTGGGGCGATCGTGGCTCAAGAGTTGGGAGTTCGCCTTGTAATCGGAAGGTTGCCGGTTCGAGCCCCGGCTTGGACAGTCTCGGTCGTTGTGTCCTTGGGCGAGACACTTCACCCGTTGCCGCCTGGTGGTGGTCAGAGGGCCCGGTGGCGCCAGTGTCCGGCAGCCTCGCCTCTGTCAGTGCGCCCCAGGGTGGCTGTGGCTACAATGTAGCTGCCATCACCTGTGGGTGAATGGGTGGATGACTGGATGTGTAAAGCGCTTTGGGGTCCTTAGGGACTAGTAAAGCGCTATATAAATACAGGCCATTTTTATCTCTTCCCTGTCAACTTAAGGAGGACCTAGCATACTGGTCCTTATATTCTGCCATATATAACTGTCAGAATCGTGAAGGCCTGAATCAAATATGGTGTTTTAATCTAGTCAGGTTAGTGTTTGTGACCTCAGTAAGCTCCACCCTTCGCAGGGTGCTGCTATATTTCTGCTGGTGCATGGTTTCAAAATGAATATTATATCGCTTGAGAAAAACGGAGAAGTGGCTTTGAGGTCAATTAGATGTAGATTTTCTGTGAAACTGCACTTGGCAATTTTAGGCTTTTATACGTAACTGATTTCAGAGCAATAAAGTTGCTATATGGTACCTGTTAACCACACAATTTTTCAAGTTCAGTTTCCCACACAGCAAGCAAGTTTTGACTGTCTCTCGTTTGAGTTTGATGCATCTGCAATAAAGTGATGTGAGGTTGAATTGGGTAGAGCAAGAGAAGTGTTTACAGTCTTACTGTACCTGTAGGGGGGCTGAGACATGTGGGACTTTTGCTGCATTGGATGGGTTCAAATGTGGGATCCAGTTCCAAGATTAACTGGTTGAGATTTTCCAGAGAAATGTCGAGATCAGGATCATCATGGTGGGTGACTGTCTCCTGTGACGGTTCCAAGCAAATAGTTTGGCCCACTCTGAGAACATGACTGGGTATCGTGTGTGCCAAGCCTTTAACTGTAGGCATCATGTTAGGGGAGCTCAGAGTCTTCTGTGCGTGCCTGCCAAAGGCCAGAGAGAGACAATGGAGAGAGATCGGTTATTCTGTCATGAATGAAATGAAAGCCCTGCCATTGTTGTTTTTGTATAACAGACGCATCAAAAGGTCTTTTTTCCCCCCGATACTGTGCACCACACATGGGTACCCATCCTGAGTTTTTCAGTGTTGCTTTTGGAGAAAGTAGCAAAGTAGCAATTGCATTTTTAACAGAAGATTCCAAAAGCTGTGCAACTTGTTGCCCTATGCTGACATTAGCAATACAGAAAGACTGGAAACAGTGGAGAAAAATGACCCTGTGAATGTGTATAAGGACATCTGGAGTTGAAAAGGCCTTTGAAAAGGGAGTGTTGGTGCAGACTCAGAAGCTTTTGAAGGCTAAAGGCAGAATAGGTGGGAACAGACACAACAGACACTGCTCAGTTTGAGAACAGAGGGAGGAGTACGATTTCCATCCTGCTATTGATACCGGTGGCATTTATGAAACAAAGACCTGGGTTCTCGTGGACCCTAAAGTCTTAAAGTATTGAATTCAGTATTCTAAAAACAAGTCTTATGTGTAGCCTTTGAGAAATAATTGATCGCACGTCAGCTGAGATGAGCTTCGGGCACTCTTGGACCCCGAATTGGACGAGTGGAAAATGAAAATGGAGCCAACAGCAGTCATATTTTGAGATTTCTAGGAATGACTTGGAGAAGTGCAAAACCAGCAACATGGATTTAACCAAGGCATGGCTGAAACTGGTTCCAGGCATAGTTCATGTTGTGCAGAAAGTGATGTAAACTTGGCACGAATTCAAGCTGGATCTGGATTAAACTCAAGGTGGACTCGTAAATTTCTACATGTTATCCAGAACCAACAAGTTAGCCTGCATACATTAGTACAGTTTGTTGGGGATGTTTTGTTTTATGGTTTTGTCATTTGGGGTCTAGCCAAATGACCTCCCAGCCTAGCAGAAGTTAAGAAAAAAACAATAAAGAGCCTGCTATACGCCACACTTCTCTGTGTTTCCAGTAATGACACTTTGATTTCCATAGAGGTGCAGCACTTTAGGAGGATAAACCTACAATAAGGGCAAAAATGCTCAGAAACTGTTGGGCTTTCAGAGAGCTAGAGGTCCAGTGAACCAGAAAAATTAAATAACCTGGAGTGATTGCTTTATCTTCAGCTGTGGTCCTAAATTCCTTTAAAATGACTTCTAAGCCTAAATTGCTTTCAGCTTCAGGAACTCTGCAGAAAGCTAAACCTGAACATTTGTTGGGCAGCTGTGGCGGGTTGTCCACATCAGCGTGGACTACAGTGACGGCTAATCTGAAAAAGTTGTTGTTGCTGTAAAAAATAAACAGTGTGCGTCCTAGAGTGCAGCACCCAGTATGAGTCAGTACTTCTTACAGACCGCGCCGTGCAACATGTTTCTCAATCATTATTATAACAGCACGCGGTGAATAATGACTCGAGCTGAGTAAATCCCATGTTTCACTGCTGACATCAGCATGAATAGCTGCTCACGCAGGGCTGCGTAATATGGTAAATGGCCTGTATTTGTATTAGTCTCTAAGGACCCCAAAGCGCTTTACACATCCAGTCATCCACACATTCACACACACATTCACACACTGGTGATGGCAGCTACATTGTAGCCACATCCGCCCTGGGGCGCACTGACTAATATGTGGGAGGATTGGCTCATCTGTCTCCCTCTTTTAAACTTTAGACAAGGTGTGGTGCTCAGTGAGTCACTCAGGTGAGTGGCTGTTACCATGGCAACTCTAATGTTTTCCTAAAACAGGAAAAGCTTGTAAGGAGTGAGATGTGCATTGTGGAAAGAATTTCCATTTCTTTTTAAGGGAAATTCATATTATTAACAACATTTTCAGCTCATGAAGAACACACACTGAGCATCACAAAGGTCCAACTTAGTCTGTGAAACAGTGCATGAAATACACTACAGCTCATATAGCAGCTGGATACGTTTTTTTAATCTCAGAAAATAAGAGCATAATATTGCGATTATTTGGTTTCATGTAGCTTTTAGTGTCCCTGCCATGTCGCGCTATAAGAAACACTTAAGTCTGCATTCGTAATTAACAGGAAGGAACTTAAAATGAGGACCTGCTGCTGTTAGTTGCAAACCTTTACTGCAGATGATATCCTGTTTATTGTTACAAGTAACGAAAAAAGTCCTCTTACCTTGCTATCTTCTGATCAGTATCCTTGCCGTGATGCTGCTTACCGTCTGACTCTGCAGTGTGTTGCACTCAAAGTGTTGGATGCTTTTATTAATAAAATCCCAACCCTCTTCCCAGTGAGCCTATCAGCAGCAAGGATCACGACTCCCTGCTGCTCCAGGTGATGATGTCATACCAGCACTAATTTTTTATGGATGGATTTTTTTTCACTCGTGTTTCTTTGAAACAGACACCCTGTTAAACTCAGTGAGTCTTTTTTTTTTTCTTGTAATTTTGTAATTTTGTCAATAAAATGCAGAGTTACTCTTGGTGAGGAGATGCCAGCATTAATATAGAGCTTAACAAATTGTTCAGATCAAAAGGACGTTATGGACATTTCAAAAGTTGTACATGTGAGGGCTTGATGTAGCCCTGCAACAGACTGGTGACCTGTCCCAGGTGTGCCCTGCTCTTCCCCTATAACAGCTGGTGTATAGTTAATAATATATTGCTCCACTATTACCCAAGACTGCTTTAACTATTAAATGAATACAGTTAGAATGTGTGTTGCATTAAATCAATCAATCAATCAATCTTTATTTATAAAGCACTTTTCATACAGAGAAAATGTAGCACAAAGTGCTTTACATAGTTAAAAGCAGCCCACCCCACCCTCCAACTCACTCCCCACACTCTCAATACACATATATCCCCCCACCCCCACCCACACACACGCGCACACTTAAAGAGTAAAAATTGGGCTGGACTCGCATGAGCCAAGTGAGGAAACACTATAACAGGGAGCCGTCTGCACCGGGAGCCGGTCGCAGACCGCAGCCTCCAGGCTGGGCACACAGCAGGAGGGAGGCAAAGGAGCCCCCCAGCCAGGCTGAGAGGACCCCCAGAGACCCAGCAGCCACGGTCAATCACAGCCCCGGTGCAGAGAGCGCCCTCCGAGGAAACACTGGAGATATGATGCAATACGATATATATAGGGTAAAATGATAAAATAAATAAGAACAGGATACAATATAAATATAAATATAAATAGAATAAGAAGATTAAAAAATGAATAAGAATAAAATCAAGCAAATATTAGGTAAAGCCTAAAGTAATAATAGAATAACAGGATAGAATAAATAAGCATAAAATAAATAAACGCTAAGTAAAAGCTAAATTAAAAAGGTGGGTCTTGAGCCTGTTCTTAAAAACATGTACGTTCTCTGCGGCCCTGAGCTCCTCCGGCAGGCTGTTCCACAGACGAGGACCATACCACTGAAAAGCTGCCTCTCTGTGAGTATGTGTCCTGACTTTAGGGACAATCAAAAGGCCAGCACCAGAGGACCTCAGGGTCCGCGAGGGTTCGTATGGTAAAAGCAGATCTGAGAGATAAGAAGGCCCAAGACCATTAAGACATTTAAAAACCAATAAAAGAACTTTAAAATCGATCCTGAAATACACGGGGAGCCAGTGCAGCGATTCTAAAACCGGTGTAATGTGGGCCCGCCCTCTGGTCTTCGTCAGCACACGAGCTGCCGAGTTTTGCAAGAGTTGTAAAGTTGAAATATTCTTCTTAGGAAGACCAGAGAGTAGGGCATTACAGTAATCAATGCGACTGGTAATAAAAGCATGCATCAGCATCTCCGTGTTGGCCCGAGAGAGAATAGGGAGGACACACCCCTTTATCTGTGAGTACACACTGATAAAGATAAAAATTAGTGTGTAAATGAAAACAGAATGCAATGGTTTGCTAATCTCATAAACCTGAACAAAGACGCTCTGGGTGTAGGTCAAATGTTGACTGGATGAAAAGTTGCCTTAGAAACAAGAGCAGAGTTCACTGAAGGCAAATAAGTGTGTGTGTGTGTGTGTGTGTGTGTGTGTGTGTGTGTGTGTGTGTGTGTGTGTGTGTGTGTGTGTGTGTGTGTGTTTAAACCTCTGTTTGTAGAATTAAAGCTGTGAACATGTTGCAGTCTGTCCTGTGTAAAAGCAAAATATATATTTTTTTATTGATCCTTTATTTATCCAGGTAAAAAATCTCATTGAGATTAAAAATCTCATTTCCAAGAGAGACCTGGCATCATGGTAACAAAAGTCACAATACACGTACCACATAAGTACATAACATTTAAAACAAATACAATATCCCATACCAACATGTGAAAAATATACAATAACAGATCAAATTAAGAGTACATTAAAAACAATCGCACTCAGCAAAAGAGTTGTTCTCTCGTTCCTTTAAGACAGACTTAAACTCTCCCAATTCTGATCATTTCAGTTATTACAATTCTGTTCTGATTTCTGGGACAATCAATTGTAGGATATTGTGAGAACGACGGCTGCATTGGTTGTGGTTTTTACACATATAAGCACATAAATAAGATGGAACCAGCCCAAGGAGAGATTTATAGATAAAGATCAACCAACGGGAGAGTCTGCGAATATGCAAAGATGGACATTTAGCAGCAGCATACAAAGAACAATGATGTACACGATTTCCATAGCCGGTAATAAGACGTAAAGCACAATGGTACACAGTATCCAACGTCTTTAGGTAGTGGGCAGGTGCATTCATAAAAAGCAGGTCACCATAATCCAATAAAGGTAAAAAAGTTGCATGAATCAAGTGTTTTCTCACTTGGAGGGAGAAACAGGATTGATTTCTAAAAAAATAAACTTAGTTTAATGACAAATTCTGATCTATAATGATCCCTAGATACTTGTAAGATGTGACCATTTCAATTTCAGTTCCTTGAATTGTTTTAATCTTAGGAGACGTAGCTAACAACTCTTTGCCATTTGAGAATAACATGAACTTGGATTTCTCTGGATTTAACACCAACTTAAGTTGAGTTAAATGGGACTGAACGACATCAAAGGCAGACTGCAGAAACTGCAGGGTTTGTGCTACTGAAGGAGATGAACAATAAATAATTGTGTCATCTGCATAAAGATGGAATGCTGCATTTGAAAAATTATCACAAAGGTTGTTTATGTAAAGAGAAAATAGCAATGGCCCTAATATGGAGCCCTGCGGAACTCCTTTGGATACTGGGAGAAAAGAGGAAGAAGACCCAGCAGCACGGACACACTGTTTTCTTGGTGACAAGTAATTTGAAAACCAACTTACAGCATTTACAGATAGACTGTGCTGTGTTGTTTTCTGAATCCTGACTGATGTTGGGAAAGAACTGAATTGATTTAGTAAGCCAGGTTTCTGATGATATAAGAATATCAGTATCTAACTCTTTCATCCAAATTTTCACAAAATCAAGTTTGGGAAGAAGACTTCTGACATTTAAATGAGTGATACCAAGACCTGTTCGAGTTTTGAAATCACAAGGAGTACTTAAGCATTTGCAATCTGGACTGGGATTAGGTTGCACATTTCCAGATAAAAGAAGCAGAAGAACAAAACATTTTCTTTGCACAGATTTTTTTTTTTTTTGTAGGATTACAGACTGATTTCTCTTAGTGCCCAATCTCTTTGGGGGGTGAGAGAATTGGGAAATAAACCAGTGATATTGAATAAATAAATCAGTTGGAATGAGATCTCTGCTCAGGATCACGTTTGAGAAGCTTCTAAAAGATGTAAAATCCCACCTTGTTCCCTTTGAGAGGAGTAAGAAGTGTGGTTTCTCTTGCTCCGCAGGCTGTTCCTGCACCTCATGTAGACAAAAAGCTGTCAATAAAAGCAATAAAGGAAAAAAGGCTACTGAGGATAACATGCTGACTGACAGAGGGAAAAGACCTGAGGAAGAGCATGGCTGTGTGGCCTGCTGGCTGACAACATATACAGATAGATATAGAAGTATAGAGAAATAACTTTCATTCAGAGAAACAAGTATTTGATACCCTAAAACCCAGCCAGAAGTGTGGGTTCTACAGATGTGTTTATGTGGCTCACAGAAATCAATCAATCCATCAATCAATTACAGATACTCCTGATCTCAACTCCATTTCAACCTTTCTGCCACCATGGGCAAAACCAAAGAGCTGTCAAGAGAAGGTGACAGCAGTGCGTGATTATTTAGAAATGGATGAAATGTAAATTGACCCTCCTCACCCACTCGTGGGGTGGCTGTAGCTCAGCAGGTGGAGATCCATCGCTTCAGTCTTTGGACAAAATACCAAACCCCATGTTCCTCTGATGCACTGATTGGAGTCTGAATGTGTAGATGGATAGAAAGCACTTATGTGTAGAAAAGAGTGCTCAAGTAGAGCAGAAAAGTGCTGCATAAGAACAGTCAATTTATCATTTACCGTCAGTCACCCTCCGTCTGGAGCCCCACGCAATATCTCGCCTCTTTGCGTGACGATGATCCTGAGGAAGGTGGTGGATCAGCCCCAAACTAAATTTATTAATCATCTGAAGGCAGGTGGGAAGATAGTTTCCCAGAACAGCGCTGATAACACGCCAGACAACACCAAAATCTTGAATTCCCCTGCTCAAGAAGGCGCAGGTACAGACCTGTCTTAAGTTTGTCTGTGAACATCTAAATGACACAGAGAAGCCTTGGGAGAAGGTGCTGGGGGCAGAAACTCAAATCATGCAGACAGTGAAGAAACCTAAAAGATTTAGAGAATGTCTTTAAGGAGGAGTGGGCCAACATCTCTCACCGTTGCTGCCACTGTGTTTGACAGCAAGGATTTCAGGTTTTGTTTGGGGTGGATCAAATCAAGTTATAACTTGTATGTACTGTGTTTCCTGAATTTTTGGACAATATTCTGTGTCTCTCTATTAAAATGAAAGCGACATAAAAGAATTAGAGATGGTCCATTTCTTTGTGAGCAAATTTACTCATTTAGCAGATGTTCAACTAATTATTTCTGCCACTGTACATCACCAACAGTGTGTACAACAGTGTGCAGTGTGATGGTGAAAAATGCTGATTGGTTGAAAGAAAGGGAGCTATAAAGAGTTCATAAACAAAAGACGTCTATATGCATCTGTGGTCGGAGAAGCTGCGCAACCAAAATCATTACAACCATACAATCAACTTCATCACCTTACTTTGAAATGGTTACTTTAAAAGCTGGGACCACCAAGTCTGACACCTCTGACAATCA